GTTGGTGCTGCCGATAGCCGATATAATCGCCGATATATTTAGTGATGTAAAAATTCACTGTAAATCTTGAATTGATTAAAAAACTTAGGTTTGGCTCTAGTAGATTCTAAATTGGGTTTATTTAGGCAACATTTATTGCTATTTTGACTCTTTACATCATATTTACAGACAGTACGTCGGCCTAATGGGATTTTTGCATCACATTCTAGCTACTAGTGATGGGGATTCCAGTTTTTTTTTTTTTTTTTGGAGAACCGGCTCTTTTGGCTCATCTCACTAAAGCAGCTGGCTCTTTCGGCTCCCAAGTGACTCTTGAGATTGTTTTGTTGCAAGCAGGACTAAACCAAAACTGAACCAGGACTGAAAAAGGACTTAACCAGGACTAAAACAGATTTAAACCATGTGTGAAACAGGACTAAACCAGAACTGAACCAGGACTGAGTGTCGGGACTCGGTTTCTATCTTTCTCCTTCACTCGAGCCCAAGTTTAGTCCTGGTTTATTCATTTTATGCTGAACTGCAGCCAAATATGCACTTTTTTTTTATCCTATGCACACGCAGATTTCTGAAAGTTTCGTTTTCAGCCGCTGCTGCTGTCAAACTACGGATCTACATGTGGCATGAAGAGAAAAAGTGAGAAAAAGAGAAAACACGGCTCCCGATAAGAAGCAGGCTCCTGTTGTTCGCTCTAAGAGCCGCTTTGATCGCGACCGACCCATAACTCCTAGCTAGTAAATAAACAATCGCTATTAGCCTTTAGCCGTAAAAACGTGCGCACCGCGGTAATTAATTATATGCATAAATGTGGATCATTCACACGTCTATTCACAGCTCATTTACATATCAATGCAGGTCCAGTAACAAATATACGGCCAATATAATCACTTTACAATAAACCAATAGAAAACAGCATGTTTATGTGTGGGAGCTACAGCAGCTAACCGCTAACAAAACCTAAACTAGCTTCAAATTCGATGTATTTCCAACACTCAGACTCACACAGGCTCCTCCCACATCACAAGTCTGAACTAATAAATGTCCTTTTAATCCAGACTCAAACCGATTGTCCGAAAAAGAAAATAATCTCAGTGTTGCGCACGGCTGCAGGTGTAAACAAACACACGTGAGTGAAGTGGCGTCACTCTGTGGTGTGTTCAGGGACAGTACGACACAGACACAGACAAATTACACCGCAGATAAATACTGATGCGAAGCCACATATTTGGACATTTATCTGTCTGTAAATTGGATTAAATGAACAGAATGTAGAGAGTCTAAGATTTATAACGAGGTATAACATGCCCACGTGAAATATCGGCCCATATCTGCAAGCATATCGGCCGATAGCCGATATGTCTCCAGGTGCCCATATTAGCCGATAATATCGGCCAGCCGATATCGTACATATTGTATAGTTCCAGTGACTTGTATTGAACGAGCAGATGTCTGAATCTGAGAGAAACAAGTGATTAAAGTAATTATCATTGTCTATATTAAGCCAACACTGAATGAATTATTTCCTGCTCTCTACTCCCCCTGCTGTCTGTGAGAGGCACTCCTTCCTGCACACAAAAGCCTCTTAAACCCGATCTGACTTGTGTTTCTTTGATTTCTTTGGAGGGGCTCGGTCTGATTAAAGCAGAGGAGAGGCAGCTGGATTTCAATGGACAATATTTATGTACGGCTCTCGAGATGTTGGAGCGCACAGCTGCGGTCAAAAGTGTCCAGCCAATTTGGGAGACAGCTTTTGAGACTCGAGGGCTTTTGGTTAGATTCACTCTGTCTTCATAATTCTGCCTTATGTTACTGGAGCTGGGGCTGGGGCAGCGAGGACAAAAACAACAATATACAGTTTTTTAGACGGTGCATATAAAGAAACTCTGGGATTGTGCAGATATAAAAGCGGCAGTCGAGTAAAAATCAGAAATATTTGATGTTTTTTTGTTACTCAAAATGATGCGGAATCGTGTATAATTAATATTAACATGTTTATATAATAAAATATAGAAAATAAATCATAAACTACAACACATGAACCAGGACTAAACCAGGACTAAACAAAGTCTAAACCAGGACTAAACAAAGTCTAAACCAGGACTAAACAAAGTCTAAACCAGGACTAAACAAAGTCTAAACCAGGACTAAACAAAGTCTAAACCAGGACTAAACCAGGACTAAACAAAGTCTAAACCAGGACTAAACAAAGTCTAAACCAGGACTAAACAAAGTCTAAACCAGGACTAAACAAAGTCTAAACCAGGACTAAACAAGACTAAACAAAGTAAACTAAACCAGGACTAAACAAAGTCTAAACCAGGACTAAACCAGGGACTAAACCAGGACTAAACAAAGTCTAAAGGACTAAACCAGGACTAAACCAGGACTAAACCAGGACTTAAACCAGGACTAAACTAAACCAGGACTAAAAGGACTAAACCAGGACTAAACCAGGACTAAACTAAACCAGGACTAAACAAAGGACTAAACAAAGTCTAAACCAGGACTAAACCAAGTCTAAATCAGGGCTAAACCAGGACTGAACCAGAATTAAACCTGGACTAAAGCAGGACTAAACCAGGTCTAAACCAGGTCTAAACCAGGTCTAAACCAGGTCTAAACCAGGACTAATCTTGGACATGAGAACTAGAGAGAGAGAGAAAACCCTGAGCCCATGGAGCAGGGTGTCCAGGAAACCAGGACTAAAACAGGACTAAACTAAGTCTAAACCAGATGTAAACCAGGACTGAACCAGGACTAAACCAGGACTAAACCAGAACTAAACCAGGTCTAACCCAGGACTAAACCTGGACTAATCTTGGACTAGAGAGAGAGGGAGGGAGAACCTCGAGGCTGCAGAAAAGTGTGTTTACAGAATACAATCTTTTCGCCTGTGGTCACCCGACGGTCTACGAGGGCGAACCTCCAGGCCCGTCCCAACACTCAGTCCTGGTTTAATCCTGGTTCAGTCCTGGTTCAGTCCTGGTTCAGTCCTGGTTCAGTCCTGGTTTAGTCCTGGTTCAGTCCTGGTTCAGTTGGTTCCTGGTTCAGTCCTGGTTCAGTCCTGGTTCAGTCCTGGTTCAGTCCTGGTTTAGTCCTGGTTCAGTCCTGGTTCAGTCCTGGTTCAGTCCTGGTTCAGTCCTGGTTCAGTCCTGGTTCAGTCCTGGTTTAATCCTGGTTCAGTCCTGGTTCAGTCCTGGTTCAGTCCTGGTTCAGTCCTGGTTCAGTCCTGGTTCAGTCCTGGTTCCTGGTTCAGTCCTGGTTCAGTCCTGGTTCAGTCCTGGTTCAGTCCTGGTTCAGTCCTGGTTTAATCCTGGTTCAGTCCTGGTTCAGTCCTGGTTCAGTCCTGGTTCAGTCCTGGTTCAGTCCTGGTTCAGTCCTGGTTCAGTCCTGGTTCAGTCCTGGTTCAGTCCTGGTTCAGTCCTGGTTCAGTCCTGGTTCAGTCCTGGTTCAGTCCTGGTTCAGTCCTGGTTTAATCCTGGTTCAGTCCTGGTTCAGTCCTGGTTCAGTCCTGGTTCAGTCCTGGTTCAGTCCTGGTTCAGTCCTGGTTCAGTCCTGGTTCAGGTCACTATAGGACAGTAGTGCAGATATGATGATCCTGCAGGTTGTTTTCATCATTGACGTGTAAAATGTAAATTGAAATTAAATCTATGGCATTTAACTTATTTATCAACAGCAGATGAGCCATCAAGTCAAGTTACAAGTCAGATCTGAGGAGAGGCAAACCCACTCACATCAAGAATGCATGTTTTCATATATTTTACACTTGAGTAATGAGATAAATACAAGTTACATGGACTTAAAGGCAAACTGTGAAACATTCCAGGCCACTAGAAAAGCCACGTAATGCATCTTTAACCCCAAAAGTGAAAGAATATCCCTTTATACACCTTTGTCTTAATGATTACAGTGCCATTTTCTCTGATTAAAATTTTTTATCAGGCCATATTGCAGCTTTTTTTTGAATGGGAGTGAAAATATTTTGCATCCATCCATTTTCTTCGTCTTATCCAGGTCCGCGTCACGAGGGCAGCGGTCTAAGCACGGACTCCCAGACTTTCTTCTTTTTGCATCATCGGGTTTCACAAAATTGTTGATATTTTCCAACATAAAGTCAGAAAATCAAACGATATTTTGCATTATAACCCAGCTCTAGATGAAGATAAACCTTTGTGTAACCCAGGTATTTTCTGTTCCTGTCCATCTCTACCTAATATTTTGGCCGCCGTTATTCGCCACTATCGCGAGATTTCGCACACGTATCGCAAGACTAATTGCGGCCAAGATCTTTAAACATGGCCGCGCGCACGCTACCATTGACTCGTGTGTTGTGTCGGTCCCGGGTGTGACTGAGCTGCTGCAGATGCCTCCTACCTTCACGACGAAGTGCTGTCGTGATTCTATGTGGTTAAACTAAGTGGAACTGGCCAGGTTCCGAAACTGGACTTTTCCGAAACTGAACTCTCCAGACACTGGATGGCGAGCTAAGGCCTAGAGCCCGAATCAAACTAAGAGTGCAAGCATCTGCCGGTGCGGCAGGAGGCGTAGCAGCCGCTCAACCCACACACACACTCACACACCCACTGCCCCCTGCTGTGGGCATTGGGCCCCTCATAGACTTTGCTGGAAATCACCCACCATAACCATTTCCAGAACTCTCTTTTTTTTGCCTTTCATGTGACGTCCGTGTGGATTATATTCATTTTTGCTGCTGCTCATTAGCACTTGGACTAAGGACTATAACTCACTGAACCTCCCATAGACTCTGAACTTAATCACATAAATGTGCACATCTGTAAATATTGTAAATACTGTCTGTTTGTACACTGTAAATAATAACACCACAACTAAGCACTGCAATCTTGTGTAAGTGTCTCATTAAACACCTCACTTCCCTCCGAGCCGAACCCCGTCTTCTGATCTTGTCATTTACCATTACTATTGTTGTTATCACCATCACTACTACTACTACACCTCCTTCTGTGGCATTGTATAAGTGCTACATGTTCTTCGTTTGTGACGTAAGCGTGACTAGAGTCTGTTGTGTGTGTTGTGTGTTATAGTGTGTGTTGTGTGTTATAGTGTGTGTTGTGTGTTATAGTGTGTGTTGTGTTTGCAGAGCACAGGGGCCCAGGTGCAGGTGGCCGGAGACATGCTTCCTGAGTCGACAGAGAGAGCGGTCACCATCTCCGGGACGCCCCAGGCCATCACCCAGTGTGTGCGTCACATCTGCTCCGTCATGCTCGAGGTACGGACCACAAATACTGTACAAAAACAGAACAAACGGAAACAGAAAGAAGGTACGGACCACAAATACTGTACAAAAACAGAACAAACTGAAACAGAAAGAAGGTACGGACCACAAATACTGTACAAAAACAACAAAAACAGAAACAGAAAGAAGGTACGGACCACAAATACTGTACAAAAACAACAAAAACAGAAACAGAAAGAAGGTACGGACCACAAATACTGTACAAAAACAACAAAAACAGAAACAAAAGAAATGTGACGGCTCTAATTCAAACTCCTGTACAGTTCATAAACGTTTTCTGGATTTTTATTTTATCATATATTAACACAATTAATGTATGGTGACCGGATTTTCATAATCAAAAACTGGGACATCACCATTTTTTTTAGTGGTTTGTAATCAATAAAATTGTTAAATGAGTGCGTAATTAAGGAAAAGTTTTTGCACTCGGCCCATTCATGACGAACATGTGAGTCAGTACAGTCACATTTTCTTTGTGTTTTGGTCGTTTTTAAGCAGCTTTTCTGTATTTTACCAAAACAAATGACAACTTATGCCTCTCTTTACTTTTGGCAAGTATCAAATTGATGAAAAATAAGGACATCTGGGACATTTCTTGTATCAAACTGGGACAAATCAATCGTTTTGGACAAAGCCATTGGAACAGGGGACACAGGGCTCAAAACTAGGACTGTCTTGGATGTTGCAGTCAGCAGAGGGCGCTCTAATGCAAATCTTCAGCTTTTTAGAGAGAGAGAGAGAGACTTGAATTTCCCTCTGGATCATTTAATTTAAGTTTGGCTGCTGTAAATTAGTAGCCTGATTCATCCGCCAGTTTCACTATGTGGAAACCATCTGACCTGTTAGGATTCATTCCCTCAACGGTAGACAGGTCATTTTTTTATTTAACCAATCGCTGCTGTTTGGTCGTGACGTATGTAATGCACCAAATCCTGTAGGAAGAAGGACAATAACGTCTTTCCACTTGATAAAATTCACCAAACATTCTCTTTGTTCCGGCTTTAAATCCTCGATCTCGTGAATCGTTGCCAACACAGAATGTCTGTCTTCGTCTGCATCCATCTCGAACGCTTTGTTTACTGTTGTGCTGCTCCACAAAAGGGACACAGACAAACGTGATGAGTTTGACGTCAGGACTTCACAGCTCACACCTGATTGGCCGGTGCACGTCTACAACTTCTGGGATATTCTGATTCCTGACCTTGTCACTGGAGAGAAATTAAATTGAGTGGAGACACTAAGTGGCACTAACCTGGTTAACAAATTGTTGCTTTTAGTGCGAATTATTATAAGTTTTAAAGCAAAATTCAAATGCATAGGTGACCAAAAGTACTTTTTAGAAAACAAAACAAACAAACAACAGTTACCCTGGTTATGTATGTGCCAACCTGTGTGATGATTGGGTGAATATGGTTCAGAAAATTGCCGAAATTGTCGATCCTTTATAATGTCGTGACCTTTCAATTGACCCGTGTGACCTCGAATGACCTCGGATCGTCACCAAACTTTTTTTGTGGCATTGGGCTCGGGGGCTTGACCCACGTGCCAAATGGCGACAGTCGGTCCATAAATGGTGGAAGTATCACGGGTGGACAGACACACAGACACACACACACACACACACACACACACACACACACACACACACACACACACACACAGGGTCTAAAACCTAACCTAAAAACCTAAAACCTGGTCAACTCTTCAGGGACCAGGTAATAAAGCTTCTAACTAGAGGCACTGCTCTGTAACCTTAAATTAACCTTTAATTTCAACACAGTCTGACTTAGATGGAACTACAACAGGATGAGCCAATGGCGTTAAACAAAACAAGTCCCTAGTTTTTCTATTAGTCACTTTCACCTTTTTGTTGAAAATTAGGCAAGGCAAGTTTATTTGTACAGCACAATTCGTACACAAAGTAATTCAAAGTGCTTTACAGAATAAGAAATACATTAAAATCATAATAAAAACAAATCAAAACATAAATAATCATGAAGATTAAAATTTTAAAAAAGAGAGACATAAATTGGAGAGAAGAGTGCGGAATGAAAACCTTTCAGTTATTTGCACAGTTAAACAGAAATGTTTTGAGTCTGGATTTAAACAGCGTCACAGAAGAGTCTGTCTCACATGTTCAGACTGTTCCAGGTTTTAGCTGCATGAACCTGAAACTCTGACTCCCCTTGTTTAGTCGTGACTCTGGGCACCAGCAGGAGGTCGGTCCCTGAGCTCCTCAGAGTGTGAGATGTTCATATGACACTAACATGTCACAGATGGACTTTGGTGCTCGGCCATGGAGACACTTGTACAAACAGAGCTGCTTTAAAGTCTCTGAGCCACAGGAGCCAGAGCAGAGACCTGAGACCAGGACACATGTGCTCGTACTTCCTAGTTCGAGTCAGGACCCGAGCTGCAGCGTTCTGGATGTTCTGGATGTTCTGGATGTTCTGGATGTTCTGGATGTTCTGGATGTTCTGCAGCGTCTCACAGCTCGTTTGGAGAGACCAGTGAGCAGAACATTACAGTATCTAACCTACTGGAGACAAACACATGGATAAGTTTCTCCAAGTCTGATTTAGACAGTAAACCTTTGATTTTTGCTCTGTTTTTTAGATGGTAAAAGGCTGCAGATGTTATTGATTTGATGTGGCTGTTAAAGTTCAAGTCTGAGTCCATTATTACCCCGAGATTTCTTGCCTGATTTGAAGGTTTTAGAGAGAGAGACTGGAGGTGATGCTGACACTGTCCCTTTGTTTTTGTGGACCAAACTCTATGACTTCAGTCTTGTCAGAGTTTAGCTGGAGAAAGTTGTTTTGCCTCCACACACTGATCTGTTGGACGCAGTGACAAAGTGAGTCCACTGTTCCTCCTAAACAGAACGATGAATGTTCATGTTGATCACAGGCTCCTGAAAACGCACCGTTTTCTATTTGTTTCTTGAGATTTCAGACTAATTTCAACTTTTTTTTAGGCAGTATTTGCTCACATTCCGCCACAGACATACATGCAGAACACCCCAGTTTTGCTGTCACTGCTGAGTATCAACATAAAGTTTGAGTACGTTTCGATTCTATTGTAAAGCGTCTTGTTTTTCTTGCATTTTCTTGCTCACAAACTCTTCGCTGTACGTCGCGTCGTGTCCCCGTGAGGCCGCCTCTGCCCGGCTGCCGTTTCCTTCCCCGCGACGCTCAGATATAATTACTTTTGTGATAGATGCAAAGATTATACAAGTGTAAAATGCCCATTATCGCCACGGTTACTGCCCCACAGGCTAATGACAAGCAAGCTCTCCGGAGGAAACGCTCCACAACAACCTGTCTAACACTTACGGATAAATATAGACGGCACTTCACCCTGTCAGCGACGGAGGGATTACAGGTAAATGCAGGGCTCTATATGCAAAGTTTTCAGGTTTTCAGCCAAGATTGTTAATTAACTCCATAAACGCGTCGCACTTTTGACAAACGCGTGGGCACAGAACAATACAGAAGTGATTTAAAGAAAAACAGATTAACAATAGGCACTTAAGAAGCTTCAGCAGCTTTGTGCATTATCATTAAAGTGGAGCTAAACATTAAATCAACTTTTTTTTGGGGGTGTACTGTCTAATGCCCCTAGTCTTATACCGGCAATTTTAGAGCAAACTACTGTAGGTACTATAGAGCTTTTTCACAACAGCCAGAAGTGCCGCGGTGTAGGTTTGTGAAACTTCAGGTTAATGGTTTTTCTGTGGCAAAATGTGTGTGTAAATGTGTGTGTCGTTTTCTCCAGCAGCTTCGTAAATCTGCCCCATCACCAAATCTTCAACCAACAAGGTCCACAAAGACAAAAATTCTAACATGAACAATTTATCCACGACTATCAAGAGAAGAAAGACCAAAACTTAAAGGAAACAACGACGAGCACAGGCAGTGTCGCGAAGGTGACTTTTAAAATACCCCAGAATGTAGTTTGTAACGTAATCCATTAAATTACTTAATGTGAGTAATGTAATCTGAATACTTTGGATTACTTGATTTGCTGTAGAGAAACAAAGACGAGGATATTGTAACATAAGAAGTTTTGTCTGATAAAAGAAAATAAAAAGCCCAGACTTTACTGAACCAAATTAAAAAATATTATTGATAGAAAACGAAGAAACACGTCCACACAGCAGGATTTAGTCCTGTTAAATCCTGTTTGAGACATAGTTTAGTCCTGGTTTTAGTCCTGGTTTAGACCTGGATTAGACCTGGTTTAGACCTGGTTTTAGTCCTGGTTTAGTTCTAGTTTAGACCTGGTTTTAGACCTGGTTTAGTCCTGGTTTAGTACTGGTTTAGTCTTGGTTTAGTCCTGGTTTGGACCTGGTTTAGTCGTGGTTTAGTCCTAGTTTAGACCTGGTTTAGTCCTGGTTTTAGTCCTGGTTTAGACCTGGTTTGGACCTGGTTTAGTCCTAGTTTAGACCTGGTTTAGACCTGGTTTGGACCTGGTTTAGTCCTAGTTTAGACCTGGTTTAGTCCTGGTTTTAGTCCTGGTTTAGACCTGGTTTGGACCTGGTTTAGTCCTAGTTTAGACCTGGTTTAGTCCTGGTTTTAGTCCTGGTTTAGTGTCCGGCAGTGAGTGGAATTACTGAAAAAAAAAAAAAAAAAAAAAGTGAAAACAGGAAAATTCTTCTGTGTAATCCATTTATTTCAACAAAGTAACTGTAATCCATTTACCACTCACTGAAACAGTAACTGTAACTGAATACAGTTACTCATCATTTGTACTCTGATTACATAACTCTGGTACATGTAATCTGTTACTGGGGTCTCCCACCTGTGGCTCAGGAGACACCAGTCGTTCTCCGACACCTTCACAGTATCTCGCCAAGACATTTCTGAGTTCTATGCATTGTGCTGAATAACAGAATTTCTATTAATTAAATGGCTACTATCATAGTAAATTTATCATTTTGATGTGCACTAATAAATGGTTTATGTTTTATAAGA